ATAATATACTGCTTTATAGAGTCGCGCGTGTCCGTATTATAAGTACTTCATGTGACACACTGTAGTGCATGCTGTGACCTACAGTCTTTTAACCATTCCCGTCAAGCATGCGACACACAGCATTGTATCGTCAATCATTGTCCACTGCTGTACTCAGAACACTGACGTACACCATCTCCCATTCAGCCATCCTGAAGTCAGACCCTGTAGTGTACTGTCTCAGTCTCCTAGTTGAGCATCACTAACTTCTCCTTGTTGCAGGACATCGAAAAGGCAAAGTTACTCATGTCACGACACGCAACTGTGTAGTGTGGGACCTGTAGCGGTTGCTGCCTACGCTGTTTGGAGGTGTGTAAAACTAGTGAGCATACTGAACAGCACGACACTCTCTAAAAAGTAAAAGCGTGACCTTCAACACTGAGCTACCAATGGGGTTCGAAGAACTTGCACATGCCATGACACATTGAGGAGCCTCTAGGCAACCCAGCTTCTGTTCGACGATGGCATAGTACCCGTCACGATATATTAGAGCATATATGACACAGGACCATGTCTATGTATCCATGAGACATGTAACACTCTCACATCTTCATTGTGTGCATATGAACACGAGACCACTCATAACAGCTTCATCAGGTCGTATTCCATGCCGAGACTCGCCAACTAGTTGAGAGGTCGCATCAGTCCAACACCGTCTGCCGAAAGGAGCGCTAGAGTCGCTTCGGTCAACCCATCTAGATGTCACACAGAAACAGTAGCATGGGAACAGCAACTCCATGGGCAGCCTATAATACTACCTCGGCGCGCATCGTCGTGCGCAGCGAGGTACGGTATTTGGTGATGCGTCGTGTCTGTGTTGTCTGTCATGTTACGCTACGTCTCACTTCTCGAGTGTTTGTTCAGTCTCAGAGGATACTCAGACGCTAACTACTATACTTACGGCAATGAAGGTCCCGAAATTTTTGTGGTAGTTCGTCGGTTTTCTCTGCATAGGCCCCGCTTGCAAGCCTAGAGCGCGCGTAGTCGGAAAGCATTGTTTAGTATCGCTGCGGAATAAGGCGCATGACGGTTATTATGCGCTACTTTTCGACCGGGCCATCGCTTGCATCCCCTGTAAGTCTTGAAGGGCACAAGAGTCACACCGGAAGGGCGTGTATCAACTCGCGACATGCTACTCTCTACTGTAGCGAGCCCGTTCGAGACATCTCCGCGGCTATCTAGCGGGAGACCACACGTCAATAGCCCAGCTCTGCAATTCGCGTACCCGCGCGCGCATCGACGCACAGTTCCGCCGAGGGTTTGCTGTCGTGCTTATTTTCATTGTAATAATACGAGGGTAATATATATACATGAAACACAACGGGCCGTTATGACGTACGATGATTTCGAAAAGCCCGTGAGTTTCCAAGCTGAGTTCCACCATATTTTCCAGTGATTTCTTGATTTCTAAGTTGATTCTCAGGGTCTCTCGCGGTTCTCTATACCATGTACCTCCGACTCCCAACGAGGAGTTCCCTTTACTGGCACGACTCAGTATGTCCTGCGCCAGAGCCCATAAATAATACTATCCGTCCGTCTCCCGGCGGCACGCTCTGATTCGCGTTTGTACGTTTACTATACGTGAACGAGCTATAGAAACGGAGAAGAAACAGCGGCACGCGCAGACACTGTGATTCTGATTTCCACTTTTCAGCTGTATTTCCTTCCCCTGATTACAACGTGATTATACCTATGGATGTTTGACCATCACGGCGTACGAGATTTCCACCGTTCGACCGCCCCTCAGTATAAGAGCTGAAGCACATATTGGGCGGGGGAGAGAAGTAGCCTTGTTCTGTGAGTGACAAACAAAGTTTGCTTTGTGCAACACTCTCAGCTCATATTAAAGTAGTGTATTGCTAGATCCCAGATCTGCGGGTACTTAACAAGCTTCCCCCACATTATGAGTTGACTTGGCATACCCTCATGCTAGTGGTACTACTATACATACGTAGTGTTTATATTACATGCTAATCCCCAAACTTCACATTTGTCCAAACTCACTACAACAACCCCTCCCATAAGCTCTAACCAACAACTGCCCTACCAACCTTACTTATATGACTTACTGAGTCACAGTGATTCATAAACCAAGTGACTTCTGCAACTATCATGAGCACTTCACATCCTCCGCACCATCGTCGTGATGGTACCTCTCCATACTCCATCGAGGTATATCTCCACTCTGCCCTCCCAGCTTAGGATCCTCCCAACCAACCCAACGAATCTCCGTGCTGTAGTCGCGCACCTACAAACATATCTTATATCCATCACTCTATACTCTTAACTATTTTGGTAAAAGTGGAATTGTTTTATTATGTGACTTTCAGTCCATCTCTCGTATGCTAACATAATTCTTGATTCTATAACTATGACTATTCTTTCCTCTCAGAATATTTTGTACCTCCAAAAAATTTAGGCAAGTTTCAATCCTCACTCTCAATAACACCAAAGATCTCACATAGAATGCCTACTAATCTAGGTGCTATTAGTGTTGCTTTGTCTGATTAAACCTTGGATTCTAAGGAAAATGACCTATTGGAACAGCCATTTTTGTAGTTCGCTGTTGCCCTTACTATTGCCAGTAAAAGATTTCTGTTCTTCTGGAACGAAAGTCACTTGGCGCTGATTCAACACGGCTTGTGCCCAACTCTATCAGAAAGAGCCACTGTGTCGTTAAAAATTATATTTAATATGTAGGCTAGATAAATCTAACGTTAGGTAACTCTTAACACATAAAACGGTCTTTATGTCTATGGCCAGGAATCATCTCTTTCATCGCTTAATTGCATCACCTGTAACCTTTCCCATTTGCTCCTTCCCACGTCATCTTACTGGTTTGCATGAGGACACCATAGACAGGAACAATTGCGTAACATTTCTTCAAAATCCAGAACAGTTGCATGCAGGTTACCTAATGAACACACTCCCTTACCATAGGGGATGCACTACCTGATAACCTCACCACTGAAAAATAAGTTTGGTTTTAACATTTCAACTTACCTTCCAAAGGTAGTTCAAGTTGTTTACACACAACCTGAGCTTCTGACATACCCCAGTCAGCATCAACTGATAGTTCCGCCATGTTCCATTCCAGAATATCTCCACTCTAACCCCTCCCAGTTGTGAGGTCCTCCCACCAGCGAATGTCCATTGGCGATAATTTTCATCAACTAAATCCGTCAAGACTCTACGGGATGGGAAACTCTAAAATATTTGGACAACTTACTTGTGTTGCATTTGACTCCCAAAATCCTCATCATGGCGCTCTGTGCTCGTTTGTTCCTTCTTCCCTGTCTCACAGTCAGTCAAGTGTATTCCATGCCAGAGCACACAACGTGCGTCAAATGGACAGGGCCACTTCCTTGTCCGAAGTATGCTCCAGTATCTTTAGAGACCCTGCAAGTCGTTATTGACCAGAAAAACAAGCATAACCTGTGTACAAACAAACTGATCTCATAGTGTCCTCTCATTTTTCATAGTACGTCACTAAGATAGCCTACCTATAATGTTACTCTGTAGATGCCAGTTTTTGACACTTTCTGGGGTCTGTGTACAGGCCAACATACACGGCGTAACTTATTGCACACGACAAAAGTATTTTGGCATCAGCCCAAAAATAGAAGAGGTATCTAATGGACCCATCATAGCTATACACATCAATCATGCATAAAGTTGCCTGCGACTTTTAGTCTCACACAACAAATTTTATCGTTTATGTTGCCCATTCCTGCCTTCTAGTTTTAGGAGGGAAATAGGTCAGATGTTGGGCTAACATGGCTGATCACCCTCCACAACATGGTAATACCCACACTTTGTAGTACACTCGGGAATGTTATGAGGTTACTATAGCTTATGACTCTGTACCCTGGTGTTTTGTAGTTTCTCTTGTAGAATAAATCCGATTCAGATCCACAGCCTTTTTATTGTTATTATCACATACCAAGACAAACTATGTGACTCCCGCCAAAAGCCGCCCATGCCTCTTACCAGGTCTGAAGTATCCCATGGTGCGACAGACAGCCTGTGCGTCTTCACTGGTCCAGTCAGAGTCAGTGATAGTGCCCCATGATCCAGCAAAGTACATTTCCACTCGTCCCTCCCACTGGTAGGAGCCGCCGACCAGACGCACATCACCACCTCTGAACTGAGCAGCTTGAATAGCAATGGTGGCGGGTGAAAGCTCAGCCTGTGACACTAACGCTGGACGCTTACTTGTCACCGTATGTGGAAGAGCTCCTTGGAGACAAACGAGCAGCAGAGCGAGATAAACCATGTTGCTTCTAGGCACTCGAGCATAAACTAACAACCTGACGAATACCGTCCGGTAATTATCCGTCTTGTCAAAGTCAAAGTTCAAGTTGAGTGGGCCAACCCGGGCATGACATGTGTACAGACAAAGTGAGGGATGGTTAAACTTGAAGCAAAACACATGACTGAAGAAGGTGGGGTCCAAGGTAGTCAGAGTCGCGCATGCGTACTATATTCGTTGCTCTACTTTTGGCAACGGATGAAATTCACAAAAATACGAGATCACTATAATTATATGGCGTCTAACTACAACGACAATCACACGCATTCGCTCATGCTGTATTAGCATATCCGTATTCAGCTGTTGATCTTTCATTAGAACTAGGGCCATTGACCACTCACCCAGAGCAATGGGCGGAACTGTTAACAAACGAACATACACCATATGAACATGAGGTGTCTGTATCACCTCCCAGACACCTCAACTCACCCCTTCCACCAGCTACACCCTGCAGCTCCCCAGACGCAATCTGAGACTGGGTCTCTTAAATAAAATCTTTAGCAAAGAACCAAATTTATCCTCCCACAGTTCACTACCCAATATAAAGGATGCTTTCCTGAGCGACTGGAAATGCTCAAAGCCATCACATCCCCAAGCTTCCCCTGCAGGGCAACTAAGAAATTGCTCCTAAGACTACTATATGCTGGACACCCACAACACATGACTCACACTTTCACACTCATCATCACACAACAGGCACTCCTTCACCACCTCCCTCCCCCTATGCCTACCCAGTTCCTCATTTAGCCCATGCGTGCCTGACCTGAACTTAAACATTAATCTAGACCCAGCATCACTTTTCCCATGCAAGTACTTTTTGAACTCTACCACCTTGTTAAATGTCTTATACAATAACAGCTTTACTTTGCTATTTAGCTCCTCTTCAAACTTTGTAATCTCCCTCTCATTAATACTGTCCCCTATTATAGACAAAAAGCCCTTCAAGGAGCAATCCCCATTTTGAATATCATGCAACCACTCTGCCTTGTCAAGACCTAATGACAAAAGAGATCATCATGACCTACTCCAACCCTTCCTCTGCCTGCCTCTCCGTGGCTTAAAATTCCATTCCTGATTAAAAAGCTTCTTCGGATACCTATTGCCTGGCAATGCCGCTAACTTATACCACCACTTCAACTTATTCTTATCCCTACGCCCTTGTAACATACCAAGCCCCATATCCCCCCTAACGGCATCATCTTTTCCACGGGAAGATTAGTGGATCCTACTAGAATAAGGCATCACAAAAGAACTAACATCGTAAAGTCCGCACATATCGTATGTGCTTGAATAGTCCTTATTGTTTGGTGAATATTATATACCCAACAAGTGCAAATGTCACCAGGAGGGAAATTATAAGAGCTACCAAAGCCATAGTATAGTCCATCTTGTGATCCCTTCTCCAACGTGTCCTTATTTCCTCTACCACTTTTTGGATCATAGCTTTCGATTTCAGGCCCAGGATTGCTAGCAGGTCACACTCAATCCAAATGTCTCCAGAGGGACGATCTTCACTGGTGTCTCTGTGATAGGCACAGCCTGTGAGTTTAGCTTCAGTTCCATGGCAACCAACGTTGTCCATGTATATGGGAGTGGAGAGAGCATATGTTGCTGTAGTCTTGTAATGCCTCCCTGTGAATAAGTATAGGTTAGATGCTGAGCCGCGGGAACTACGCGATTTGTCGGCGTCCCGAGCGCAGCGAGGGCGCTACTACCAGGGCCCCGAGGCTCACTAAATCGCGTAGTTCCCAAGGCAACGCATCTAGACCACAGCGCTAGCAACGCACAACAACGCACGCGGCATTGCGGATGGATGGCTTACTGGGGTCACAGATTGTGGAGCTTTATGCTGAGGACGAACTGGAAGTAGACAGGCTATTTGCAGCGGTCAGCAGCCATTTCAAACAGGCGTACAACAACGCCTCTACCTGGTACCGGTAAGGCTAGCTATAGCAGCAGGAGAGAGTGTTTGTTCTAGGCGGCGCGGCTCGCTAACGCGAAAGTTGGCGCGGCCGCTGGGCACCGCTAGCGTGCGCGTCTGGCTCAAGCTGTAGCTAGGGCCCTGTAGTCATGCACCGCTTCCTACTAGAAGACCGAGTACCTGGGTTTTCGTGAGACAGGACCTCTCCAGAAGCTCCGTTTCCCTTCCGCACGCACGACGTCTCTTGAATTTGCCATGGCCAATACGCGTATATAAGAAAAGTGCCGCAGGGCTGCGAAATAGTTAGCTACCGCGGAAGAGGTAACTAACAAAAATAGTTACCTCTCAACTCGGAATCTGATTAGTCAATTGCCTGTTACCGTAGTCTAAAGCAGTTTAGACACATGAGCTCTAACTGTTGCACTTATTGTTTTGAGAAGTGCGGACAGACAGATGGACAGACAGACTTTAAAACCAAGTACTGTAACCCTCGCTCCACATGAACGCCGTGGGAAAATAAGCAATATTGAACCAGGTAGATAGCTAACAAGTGACACTGTTGAATAACAAAAACTTGCACACACCAGTGCTGTTGAACCCAAGTTGTCTAGCTACAAGAAACTTGGGTGACTGTCCATCCATCTCCACTGACAGTGCCCCATCTCTGATCCAAACACACTTCAATCGCTCCATCTTTCTTTGCAGCCACCATGCAGCAGCTTTGGATCCCCGTCAGCATAGTCAGCTGTAAGAATAAAAGCCCATTGATGTCGAAAATTAAACCTGTCTTCAGTACATAGAGTGATTTCTCATGTTTCTTGCATCATATTCCAACATCTTCAAAGTGGTCATTATGAAATTGGCGAGCGGAAGCGAGCTAACCTATATAGTGGTCCGAACGGCGCGATTTTTCTTTTTATGTCACCGTACGTCGAGCGTCGCCGAACTGCGCAGTCCACCGTATATACGTCGTCGGTATAAACGTCGCCCACCCCTCTGTAGGCTCCACTCCTGATAATTTGTGAGCATGTGAGGAAAGGGAAAGAGTTATGGATCGGTCTAGAGAAGATGCTCTTCGTCGTCGACGAGAGAGGGAAAGAGAACGTCGTGCCAGTGAGACTCCTGAGCAGAGAGAAGCTCGGCTTTCTCAACGCCGATTGCGTGATCGGGGCCACGCCGGGCTACAGAAACAGCGGAGGAAAGGGAAGCGCGACTAGCGAGAGGTCGTGTACGATCAAGAGCTAGACGCGGTGCAGAATCCGAGGGAGTACATCAGGCCAGGCTCCAACAGCTTCAAAGCTATCAGGCACGCCAAATTGCTGCCGAGTCCAGTGAGGAGAGAGAGGCCCGCCTACAGCTGCTACGCACAAATCAGGAGCAGAGAATTGCTGCCGAGTCCAGCGAGGAGAGAGAGGCCCGCCTAAAAAGAGAGAAGTTGTTAGTTTGAGCAGAAAGTAAACGACCTATAGGCTGTTCTTCACGAGTGGAAACAAGGATATGCTGCGGAAAGAGAGAGAGTATATAGGAGGAAAAGGCTGAAGCTCAAAAAAAGAGAAAATTATTGCAGAAATTAGAGAGCGAATAAAGATAGAGAAGAAAATAAGAGAAGAAGTTTGGCTGAGAAAAAGAGGAAGTTGAACACAGCGTCCCCTGCCTAGAACAGTAATAAAACTTTGAGCAAGAAGTTACCCATTCAATTTTGTGCCGCGTGAAACCAATGCTTTTTAGTTACAATTCTGTCCTGATTCAGTGTGCCTAGTGCAACCAATATTCCTATGTAAGGGCACGAGAAGCTGCATGTAGCTATGCTGCATGTATGCTGTCCAGGGACTGATGGCATGGCGGGTGCCTGGACAGGCTGTATATACGTGACTCCTCCTATCCCGCCCCCACCAGAGTGCGCGTGACTATATAACCGCGGCACGATATGCATGCCCCGGCGATCACGCCCTGCCCCCTCCTGTGCAGTTCGCGCGCGCGCGTAGCCTCGCGGAGCCACGCCTTCTCAATCCGCGCGCGGCGGAAGGCCTGGTGCATTGCCACTTGTTCCCTATTCCTGCAAGTCCAATCAGATTGCCGGATTATGCCGATTCGCGCTGTCGTCTGACTGTTTTTGACTCGACTCGAATTGTCTACTGCGCTCGGGTGTAAAGGTTGTTTCGGCCTACTTTGTCCTGCGCAATGTTTCTCACTGCACACAAGAGTGACTCATATGATTAGACCCTATTTGTAAGCTCGCTTCCGCTCGCCAAAAATGCCATGATTCGCTTACTAGTAGTAGCCTCTGCCCCATCTCTTATTATAGCACACCAGAACACTCCTATTCTCTCCTGTCCTACTCCTTCCTGCATTTGTAGTAACTTTACATCCCCATCCTCACATTGCACTGCAATAATATATGGTGACTCATTTAGTGCAATGATTAACCTCTTCCTGTTACTGTCTTTGTGTCTCATGATACGCTCGAAAAGTGACTGAATTCAACAACTCCCCGCAGTTCTCGCCTTGAACTATTTTTGTGCATCGTACTCTGTATCTGTAACCGATACTTATAGTGATCATCTGTGCACCTCTATAGCTGTATAGGCAGGATCTTAATTTGTACATCATCTAGTCTAGATGTTCCACCAACATTCTCACCTTTTCGTATGAAAGCACCACATCTTACTGTAGATCGATTCCTATTGAATTCTCCAAATGAGATATTAAGTACTCATGCAAATTGCTGAGTCACGAGACGTAACGCTCGTCTATAGTATCTATTTCCATGATACTACACTCAACCTTCATCATCGTCAAAGCCTAGAGCGGCACACAAATCTGGAATTAGCCTCAGTCCACTGGTTGCCACAGACAGTACCCCACATGGAGCGAGAGTACACATTTCAACTCTCCCCTCCAGTTCCATACTGCAACCAGTCAGTCAGTCTCGTATATCCAAAGTTGCAAGATGTGAAAAATGTTTTCAATTGTAGCAACTCTGTGTTCTCTAATGTTCGTCATTCCGATGGTTTGATGATGACTCCATAGACAAATAATATTGTGTAACATTATATTGATATCCAGAGCAGTTGATTGAGGTTATCCTAATGACACCACTGCATTGACGATAGAGGGATGGCACTGAACCTGGAGAACTCACACTGACAAATAAGTTTAGTTTTGACATTTCGGCTTACCTTCCAAAGGTAGTTGAAGTTGTGTACACACAACCTGAGCTTCTGACATACCCCAGTCAGCATCACTAGTTCCCCATGTTCCATTCCAGAATATCTCCACTCTACCCTCCCACCTGACGAATGTCACCATTGCGATAATTTTCATTAACTGAGACCCGTCACAAGACCTCACAGATTGAATAATGTGTTGCATTTGACTCCCACATCCACATCATGGCTGCTCTGTTTTGTTCCTGTCCCTGTCTCACAATCAGTCAAGTTGTATTCCATGCCAGAACACACAATGTTGTCAAAATGTATGTGATGTACGTCTGGTCGACAGCTCCTATCAGTGGGAGGGACGAGTGGAAATATTCTTTGCTGGATCATGGGGCACTATCAGTGACTCTGACTGGACCAGTGACGATGCACAGGCTGTCTGTCGCAGGCCAGGGTTCCGAGGCTAAGCGTGGCTCATCAACCTCCGGTTCCCAACACCGAATGGCTTTTGCTCTCGTTTGTGCGTTCTAACAACTTGTGTTAAATCCTCACCAAGTTGAGTGTATGCAAAAACAGAATGATAGCTAGCTACAACAGAGACAAAAAAGACATAAATCATTCAATCACCAACAATAAATCATTAATGTGTAATAGTTTTGCATTAGCGTAGTTGGTAGCACTATTGCCAGAATGACACACTGGTAGAGGAGGGTTTTACCCTTTACCACCGCCATTTACTCCGATGGCTTTCTGTGGAGCCGTGTAGCAACTCTCCCTCTCTAGTGTGCTCATTTTCAGTGGCTGGTAAATGCCCGAAGGTTTCGCTGGTGCACTAGATGACAGATTAGCATAGTGAGCATCTTGTGTAGTTGCAGTGGGCTTTGGAATTTCATAGTCTTTGGAGTCCGGTTCATCAGGTATATTAATATTAGCTTCCCCTTTGCCTTGAGCAGAATGTTTATAGTAGACTCTATAATAAAATTCTATGGCACGAGACAGAAGGAAAAGTCGTGAATTAACTCACCTAATTTTCTTGTGTAATCCTTTTGAGCAGAAATGTAACTAACAAATGCAATATTTGACAAAAGAACCAAGCTAACTAAAGCAACTAGAGCCACAATGAAGCCTGTGACATTATCACCACTATCCGTTGCTGTGTTGTTGTCGGACTCAATACTGTTAACACTGCTGCTGCAGTCAATCCACACATCTCCAGAGTGGCTGTCTTCACTGGTGTCTCTGTAATAGGCACAGTCGGTGAGTCTGGCTTCAGCTCCATAGCAGCCAACATTGTCCATGTATATTGGAGTGGAGAGAGCCTTTCTGGCAGCATTTGCTGAGTACAGCCCTAAATTGTGGAGCAAAGAAGTTGGTTATATTCATGCAGGATCACTTTAGATCAGCATACTAAGGTGTACTCTGCAATAGTTTACAAGTCTGCCTTGTGCTGTATAGTGATGTAGCTAACTTGAGCCCCTGCCTGCTGACTGCCCTGGTAGTGGATCACTTTCCCTTGACTGCAGAGTGTCGTGGGTTCAAATCCTACACAGGGCAGCTCTTTTTCTTTGGATTCGTCCTGGATTTAGTTGACTTGTGGTTTGCTTTGCAGCCTCTTGATGTTTAGGTACATACATCTACCCATGATCTACCATCTCCTGCCCCCTCCCTAAGCTGTTGTGCACTCTCAGATACCAGCATTGTTAAATCCAAGTTGTCTGCAGGTAACTTGAGTGTCCACATCTGTCCATCCATCTACATTGACAGTTCCCCATCTCCCACTGAAGCACACCTGCAATAACCCATCATTCTCTGAGTCTCCTCCCACCAATCTCAGGTCACCATCATCACATTCAGCTGTGCAGACGGAAAAAAACAGAAATCAGCAAGGTAGTATATATAGGTGACATACTAGTTTTCATGAGCACTCTATAGCTACTATGTGTAGATGCAACCCACAATATTGTTAGAACAACTCCAACACAAATTTTGCTATCTTACACTTTTTGCATTTGACTCCAACGTCTTCCAAGTGGACACTGTGTGTAAGATTTCTTATGAAGCCACATTCCAAGAGGCTCAGCTGTCTACCAGCACATCTGACAGTCTTTATGAACACTGGCATTGAGTTTGTGGCTGGCCTCACTGAATAGTCATTGCCTATAATAATACAGAAACTGAATTACTGCAAAGCAACACATTATTGCCCATAAACACTTCTTCCCACCAGTGGCCTCATATCCGAGGTTATTACAGATGACAGTAGACTCTGTCTGAGTCCACCCATCACCACTGATGGTCCCCCATCTCCTACTGAAGCAAATCTCAACCCTCCCCTCCACATCTGTCACTCCATCCACCAGTCTCACTTGCCCATCCGTACAGCTTGCTAAGAAAAGAAGTCAACACTACAACATACAAAATGTTGGGTTAGCTAAAATTTTTAGCTTCAAACAGTTTTTGTAGAAGTGATACCTGGTTCACATGAAATATAGGCGAGGTCGAAATAAGGGCAACGTCTTGGAACACTGCGACTATTGGTGCAGTCAAATATACGAGACTCATCGCCTTGGCAATCCAGTGCTAGGTTTTGAGCTGGCATTACTCTTCCCCCTTTCCAATAGTAGTGCCCTGGAAGTAAAAAAACAGCAAACACCTAGCTATGGTTTGGTTATGAGTTACCTAGTAGCAATACAGCAAAGTCAGATGTATATTGTGTTTGAGAATTACACTCCCATGGTATGCTAACATAAACAATTTCTTACCATCTCTATTAGTATATCCAAGTTGACGGCACAGAGTCTTTGTAATTGCCTCGTTACTGATCTGGCAAATAGGACCCCATCTTTTTGTTGATGCAAACTAAAACAAGTCCTTCTTTTTCAGACCCTGCTGTGCCTCGTAACTTGATGTCTCTATCTTCACAGTTTGCTACAAATATTAAAAGGTTATTATTGTAGCCCTCGGTGATAAAATTAATGTATTGCCTGGTGGACAGATAATTCCAATATCGTCATTGTGGCTACACTCAGAAAAGCTGTGGCTGAAGTAAGTGCACTCCCTCAGTGAGTTCTCTGACCCTGAACATCTCACATAGTCTGCAGCAATTGCAAAGGTGGCTGGTATCCGATTGAACGTGGAGTATGTGTGATATGACCCTGTAAAGAGGGTAGTGTGGAACACGATTATTTATAGATTTGAAGTGTCCCGTTACAGAGATATACATGGTACACTTATGTATTTTGATCTCCGTAATGTGTGCACCTTCTTCGTAGCCATATCCAAAGGAGTGACAGGCGACCTTTGAGACGGCCTGAGTCCAGTGTTTGTTGCATACAGTGCCCCAAACAGAGAATGAGTTGCAAATTTCTAGTCTCCCTTCATTCTCTGACTGACCGTTTGTGAGTCTCACATCTCCATGGGCACAAGGAGCGAAATCTAGGGTCATGATATAATTATAGCAATTTGTGTATATTGGTGTATATAATATAAATATAGGTTATACTGCGCGTCTATGGAAATATGCGATTTCCATTGGGCTGAGGGGCTCTGAGCTGTAGCTGTCTGAGCGCAAATGTTATTCAATCGTGTATTTCCATCGACAAGCAGTATCACTAATTATTGTGACTTGCGTGGGCGGATAGAAGGAGCCACGCATACTCTTATTTCCCGTATTGTAGCACACGTTCAATATGACCAATATTGAACGTTCAATAAAAGAATTATTGAACTAGCATCAGCATCGTGCCCATAGTGTAGACAAAAACTGTTCTGTAGAGGCTTTAGAGGCGAGGGATGACTGTTCTGCAGAGTCTGTAGAGGCGAGGGATGGCTGAGGCGTCCACACCCCTTCATTCAGCTCCCAGTGGCAAGCGAGACCGCAGCCGCGGCACACCGACCGGTCAAACGGCCGAGCGACCTATGAAACGAGTTTCTCTGAGGGAGAAAGAGCCACCATCACGACCTTGTTCGATTACGGTAGCCTCGAGAACAGAGAACTCACTCGAGAAGCCAGCGAGTGCGCACGTGGGCATGGGTAGCAGGCTACGCAGTCGTATATCTCTCGCTGGAGGTCGACGACTGCTACAAAGTCACAATAAAACACATAATGTGCGTCCTATCGTTCTATACATGACTTATGGGAACTCGGGTTGTGTCTCGAGACCCATACAGCACTCGGCTGCGCCTCGTGCTGTATGAGTCTCTCGACCACACACCTCGTTCCCATAAATCACGTATAGAACTCTAAACGCACATTATCTCTTACGTACGGTAGTACTTAGTATATAGGGATGATATTCCAAACTATTAATTCGAAGAATTTTTTGATTGGCGAGCGGAACGAGCCAACCTAGTCGTTCATTCGACCCGATTTTTCTATATATAAAATACGCGAAACGGAATGAAATTTCGCAACCATCTGTAGCTATATACGCTTACACACGCCATGTGGTTGGCCAGCCCGATCGATCACTGCCTAACCTACTGCTGCCTGGTGGACCACGACAGATGAGCTGAAAGGCTTAAGGTAAGTACTGTTCTGCTCACCTGCTCACCGTTCTACCAATAGGCCTATACACTACGCATGTAACAGCGACAGAAGGAAAGCTGTGCGCTGACAGCACGATATGCAGCCCGAACATCGCGGGCGAATCCGAAGTTGGGTCGCTCCCACTCTCCAATAATGTTCAACATTCATCTAGTAATATTTATAGACGGAGGTCGTGCTGACCGTCAAATCATCCGAATCCGTCTCCTCTGAATTCTGCGAGATTCTCTCTCGCAGGGGGAAGCTAGAAAAATCTTCAGTTTAGTTTCTTTTTGCATCGTAGAGACACCTTTCATCGAATAAGCATCAGATACAGCGAACTTGAAGTTGTCGTGGTGACAGCGTGGAAGCTTGCCACACCCCCATTGAAGACGCCATTTTTGGCGGGCATCTCCCTGGAAACTTACCACACACCCATCGATTACGCCATTTTTTGCCGTGGAAACACACACACGTACATACTTGTAATAAGTTAGGCGCCGATTCGAGGAAACTGGAAAGTCCCGGGCCCTCGGGCTGTAGCCTGCCAACTAGAGGGCCTGAGGCTTTCTAAATCGCGTGGTTTTCATTGGCATCTAACCGAATTAGAGCCATGGCAACCACGCCTTCAATTTGAAAGACGCTAAGCATGCGGACGGAAAACGGAGCTTCTGGAGCGATTCTTTCTCACGAAAAACGAGGTACTCGGTCTTCGATCTAGCAGTTAGCGGCGCACGACTACGGAGACCTATCTTGCTCTGGCTACAGCTCCAGCGCCCGCGCACACCAGCTGTGCGAAAAGCACGCAGCGACACCACCTACTTTTGCGTGACGGTTAGCCGCAGAGCCAACAAGCGTCTCTTTTTCACTCTGTTCGCTTGCCTACAGTTAGGGGTGCTGCGTTTCGAGCTATCTATACATATGCAGAGCTGATTAGCGTCTTCTTGAATTTTCTGTGTTGTGAGCCGCGTTTCTGCGCATGATAATAATGGAATGTTCCTCGGGGCATATCCTCTGATCAGTCAGAGGAATACTAAGTGAAATAGTATTCCTCTGATTGACAAATCAGAATTCAGAACTCACTAGAGCCTGGCTCTAATATCTGGTTTTAAACCCTTTGGGGCCCAAAGTTATGCTTTAAGCTCATTGAACAGTTAAGATTCGTTTTCTTTCATTTAGATGGTTTTTTGAGTGGTCAAAACACAAATAAGCAATGCAAGAGCATGTATGGGTCAGAATTCCAGAGTTTAACTACAAACGTTGGGTATTTATTTTGTGTATAACGTGTCACTTACGCTTAGTACCTCCAACATTGGTGGGAGTTAATACTCAGTCAATTGGTTGCTGGACTTACAAGTACACCCGAGGCTCACAGGAGACCCACTACCTCCAGTGGTGTAGGGACAGTCTATCAGTCTTGACTCAGTCCCCACACACATGACGTTACTCATGACAACAGGTAAGTCGGTACTGTAATCAGAATCAGTTGATGTTATACCTGCAATTTATTTATAGAGAGGTTTTGTAATCAGTGTCTCTTCTGAACAGTCACTTTTTTGAGAAAAATAGGCACAATAGATAATTACATTTGACACTGTAGTTCATGTTTAAGCAGTCTTTACCATTCCTTCCAAGCTGGCGACATACAGTATTTGTGTCTTCAATTGTCCACGCCGTATCAGACACCACTCCCCATCTCCCATTCAGCCATACCTGCAGCAGACCTCTGTTGTAATTATTCCTTCTGTCGAAGAGCTTTACTTCTCCTTCTTCAGGGACATCTACAAGACACAGTTTCATGTCATTGTAGTAAGTTGTTTTATTATGGACTGTAGCTGCGTGGGTGTGAAAAACTAGGGACAAACTGACACACAACACTTCTTAAAAAGTAAACTTGACTTGACCTTCAAACACAGAGCTACCAGAGGGGCTCAAAGACTGCAATACTTCACACAGAGCAATTAGGCACACCCTAGCTTCTGTACACGAGGCATAGAAACAAGTCACTATTACGTAAGAGCATTACACAAGATAATTACTATGTATATACCATTGAGACATGAAACACTCCAATCTTTATTGTGATACCATGACCTAGAGACAATATAACAGTGAACCAGTCGGTATTCAGTGCCAGAGCATCCCAATCGGTAAGGATGTATTGTTCCAACACCTTCTCCAAAATGAGCTTCATAGTAGTTTCTGTCAAAACCATCTACATATGTCACAGAAATTATCATGGGAACTACAATCTATGTGCAGCCTATCATGAAATTGTATATAGCTGAAGCACTATTGGGGCTGGGGAGAAGTAGCCTTGTTCTGAGTGGCCACATTTGCTGTGCAACAGCGCTCATTCATGATCTAGAGTGTATGCTATGATCCCATATCTGACGGTACTACAGCTTCCCCAACATATTGATGTGTGCTAACTACACATACTTTGTGTTTATATTCCCCATTAACATTGTCCAAACTTGATACACTTAACCTATGTGTCAAACAACTGCATGAATCTCTAACCAACAAAATCCCTGACCAACTTACAGTGTGTATCATAACCAAGTTGTCTGCAAACTACATGAGCTCCATCTTCCCCATCTGCGCTATTGGCAGTGATGGTACCCCATACTCCATCGAGGTATATCTCTACCCTGCCCTCCCAGCTATAGAATCCTCCCACCAGACGAATATCTCCATGCTTGTAGTCGGCACCTACAGAACAAGTATTAAATATTAAGCACTCTATACCCTTAACTTATTTGGCAAAAGTGTATAATTATTGTTTATTATTTGATTTTCAGTTGCATTCTTTATAGTTATGTACACAAGCATTCAAAAAACCAACTCCCAATAATATTGCATTTTTGTCTCAGACTTTTTGTACCAACAAAAATTGGGCAGGTTTCAATCCATGACTCGCAGTGAACCACAACATACATTATTAACCCTCGGTGCCATGCACAGCGAGGGTTACGGTATATACTTGGGTGTCCGTCTGTCCGTCTGTCAGTCTGTCTGTCTGTTACCACGTTTTCTGCCACCACACGCAACGAGACAACAAAATAGCGATACCAACGGGTTCATCGCTACACTGGCTTCATTTTTATAAAGGCGATTTTCGTATAAGTACTGCGTTCAAAAGATATGGCGTGAAAAGCAAGTGAACAAGCCAATAATGCAAATTATCACAGGCTTCCCTCGACCAGGTCTGCTTGCTCTGTGCATCTTGAAGGCACAAGAAGTTACAACGAAGGCCGTGTAAGGACTCCCGCAAGCCATCTACTACTGCAGGTATTCCGTGTCAGACTCTCCCCGAGCTACGTACTAGCGACAGCGTAGAGACCACGAGTATCCGCATACTAAAAATTAATTAGTGCAAACGCGCGTGTGCAATTCGCCAAAGGTTTGCACTTTAGTAACCTTCGGCGCGCATGCGTATCGAGGGTTACGGTAGTCGTTCTGTGTGTGTGTGTCTGTCTGTCTGTCTGTTTGTCTGTTTGTCTGTATGTCTGTCTGTCTGTTTGTCAGCAGCTATTAGGCTACGAGGCGGCCCGTGAGTGATACCAACGTCTTCAGAGCTACCGAGCCTGAAAATTTATCTGCCCTTTTTCTCATATTATTTCAAAGCCAATACGCATAATTGCACTGGGCTTACTGCGACCTGATCCCCTCGCTCTGTGTACTTTGGGGCTCAGGAACTCACAACGAATAGCTTGTATGATTATCGACTACCGCATGCTATCTACTACTGTAACTAGCCACTCTCCGCGAGCTACTTTAGCAGTATCGCGCATCCGCAGTTCGCCGAGGGTTTGCACTTTAGGTTAAAGATGTTGCATGACTCCACACAGAAGAGTGCCCACGTGAAAACTGTGTTGTGTGGCAGGCATTTGTGTGTGTAACTACAGCTACGACATGTAGAGACCAGTAACTTGCTGGAGGCCTTAAACATGGATTTCTTAGGGAAAGTGACCAGCAGTGGAACAGACACTGCTGCTTAAAATTTATTTGAAAAGAACATAAACTGGGCTGACTCAACACAGCTTGTGCCACATCTACACATTGGTGTATGTGAAATGTTTGTGTCTTAAAAATAAACACACAAAAGGTTTTGTTTTACAGCCATGCCACAGAGAATATCTTTTTCATTGGTAATTGTATCTGTGTAACCTTTTCCACACTTAACTCCCACGTCATTCTGATGGTTTGATGAGGACCCCATAGACAGAGAACATCGTATAACATTATTTTCAGATCCAGAACAGTTGACTGAGGTTATCCTAATGACACCACTGCCTTGACCATAGGGGGATGGCACTGAACCTGGAGAACTCACACTGACAAATAAGTTTGGTTTTAACATTTCGACTTACCTTCCAAAGGTAGTTCAAGTTGTTTACACACAACCTGAGCTTCTGACATACCCCAGTCAACATCACTGATAGTTCCCCATGTTCCATTCCAGAATATCTCCACTCTACCCTCCCAGTTGTGAGGTCCTCCCACCAGACGAATGTCACCATTGCGATAATTTTCATCAACTGAAATCCGTCAAGACCTCTACGGGATGGGAAACTCATGAAATATTTGGACAACTTACTTGTGTTGCATTTGACTCCCACATCCTCATCATGGCTGCTCTGTCTTGTTCCTGTCCCTGTCTCACAGTCAGTCAAGTTGTATTCCATGCCAGAGCACACAACGTGGTCAAAATGGACAGGGCCACTTCCTTGTCCGAAGTATGCTCCAGTATATTTTAGAGACCCTGCAAGTCGTTATTGACCAGAAAAACAAGCATAAACCTGTGTACAAACAAACTGATCTCATAGTGTCTCTCATTTTCAGAGTACGTCCACTAAGATAGCCTACCTATAATGTTACTCTGTAGATGCCAGTTTTTGATACTTTCTGGGGTCTGTGTACAGGCCAACATACACGGTGTAACTTATTGCACACGACAAAAGTATTTTGGCATCAGCCCAAAAATAGAAGAGGTATCTAATGGACCCATCATAGCTATACACATCAATCATGCATAAAGTTGCCTGAGACGTTTTGTCTCACACAACAAAGTTGTGCCGTTTATGTTGCCCATTCCTGCCTTCTAGTTTTAGGAGGGAAATAGGGCAGATGTTGGGCCATCATGGCTGATCACCCTCCACAACATGGTAATACCCACACTTTGTATATATATAGTACACTCGGGAATGTTATGAGGTTACTATAGCTTTTGACTCTGTACCCTGGTGTAGTTTCTCATCCGATTCAGATCCACAGCCTTTTTATTGTATTATCACATACCACCAAGACAAACTATGACTCCCGCCAAAAGCCGCCCATGCCTCTTACCAGGTCTGAAGTATCCCATGGTGTGACAGACAGCCTGTGCGTCTTCACTGGTCCAGTCAGAGTCAGTGACAGTGCCCCATGATCCAGCTAAGAATATTTCCACTCGTCCCTCCCACTGGTAGGAGCCGCCGACCAGACGCACATCACCACCTCTGAACTGAGCAGCTTGTATAGCGGCGGGTGAAGCTCCGTAAAGGCGGCCTATGACGCGCACGCTGAACGCTTACTTGTCACCGTATGTGGAAGAGCTCCTTGGAGACAAACAAGCAGCAGAGCGAGATAAGCCATGTTGCTTCTAGGTCCTCGAGCATAAACTAACAACCGTGACGAATACCGTCCGGTAATTATCCGTCTTGCCAAAGTCAAAGTTCAAGTTGAGTGGGTCCACCCGGGCATGACATGTATTGTATACAGACAAGGTGAGGGCTAGGGATGAGTTACATGTAAGAAGCATAACACATGACTGAAGAAGGTGGGGTCCATGGTAGTTAGAGTCGCGCATGCGTACTAGATACGTTGCGGTCAATTCTCTACTTTGGTACCGGATGTGATAATAGGAAATTCACAAGAATACGATTTCACTATATATGGTATCTAACTAGACAACAATCACACGCGTATTGGCTCATGCTGTAATTAACCCTCGGCGCGCATGCGCAGCGAGGGTGACGGTAGTCGTTCTGTCTCTGTCTGTGTGTGTGTGTGTGTATGTCGACGCTTATTCTGGCACTACAGGCTACGAGGCGGCCCGTTAGCGATACCAGCGGATTCAGACTACGGGAGCCTGAAAAATAATTAGGCCATTTTCCTGAAACGCCGGTCAGGGATGGGATACATGCTCTTGGTCAGAACTTTGGTCTCAGCATCAATAAAGTCAAGCAATGGAAGTAGTCTTATTTCTATGCTGTGTGTGGATATTCCTGTGTGTCACTGAATCTCACTTTTGGTCACACTGTCACTGTCACTATTTCTATGTGAAACACTTCTGCAGAACTACCCGAGCATTGCGACCGCGGTCGGCAACGGGTTAAACAACTTTTGCGTGGGTCCTTAGGTCGGGGCCATATCACCTGCACGCTCAAGAGGCGTTATTTGGAAAAGTAAACGTGGTTAATCGAGATAGATTCAAAGGAGCTTGAATCAACATGCAGAAGGTTAGCTTATGCGCTGATCGAACAAGTGTTACGACTGCGACGCTATGACAACACAATATTGGAGGTTGCTGGTTATTTCTTCCCTTCTTACGAAAGACCTACTTCAGTCGTCAGGGTTACAGTCACATGGAGTGATATGCACCTGATTTTGAAAGCTTCAAGAACGCCTCTCCCTGCTGGTGATGTAGCAGAGAGCATCAGGGCGGACCTGGAGAGGGAGATGGGGAGGTGGAGTGGAATGTCGTCCGGTTTTGTGCATGAAAGGTTCGGAGAACATTCAGTCCAGATCACGTCAGGGCATTCAGTGGTAATATTAGACCCACACCAAGGAAAAATCCTGAAGTGCAATTTTACTCCATGGCTTGAAGCTCGACTCTTTTTTATGACGCAAGAAGGGGATCCCCAGTTAGAAAGGAGCCTGTTGCCAGATAGTAAGATGATCGTTGGGCCTAGAGTATATTTTACCTACAAACTTCTACTGAAACCTATCGACAGATGTGAAGCAAGGATCATCTTTTGTGGTGTGGATAGATTTGCATATGGGGTGTTCAAAGCCCTCCACGAGCTGCATGACACCTGCAGTCTGGCTCACATGGATCAGCTGAAGCTTGAGAACGTTTGCTTTGATCCCCTAACCCACCAGCCAATACTAATCGACCTAGATAGGAGTGCATCCAAAGACACTCAATGTTATTCCCACCATTTACCCTCCACGTCAACAATGTACCAACCTCTCGATGAGAACTGGTGCTTGAGAATATTGACTCCTGCAGATGGGGCTGATGTTCTGCCCACATCTTGATGAGTCGATCGACAGCAGTTATGACGACGGTACCTTCGATTACAACCGGTATTATCCCACCACTCAATGAATCCACCTGTACCTGCACTCCCTGCTTGATGGACAATGGCCATCTGAGTCGGAGCATGTAAACTTCATTAGTGATCCAAAATTTGTTGTGTAAATAATCCATTTCTTGTGTGCAACTAACCCTCGGCGCGCAAGCAGTGGTAGCATCGTTCATCATGCCACAAGAATACGTTGTCTGTTGCTTATTTATACTAGTCTGTAGAGGTGCCATACATACACTAACTCCTATCCACAGTTATGTGGTTCAGAAGTTCGAAAAGGTTAATGCGCTTGAACATCCCGAACTAATCCACATCACCCTGCACTCATTAGCCCCCCCCATACCCCCCCCCCCCCCCCCCCCCCCCGTAAAATGTATTTAGGAGTGGTTCTGTATCGTCGAACCTCCCCAACCATGTTAATAAGCTCTACGCACCTTGCTAATCGCTGCAATGAATGGGGTTCCAGAGAAGGTTCGAGGAGCTTTAATGTGCTTGTAACAACCCCAAACTACCAAACTAGCGGCATAAACCATCCCGACCTATGGGCACATCACCCTGCACCAACTTGCTTACCCCTTTAAACACGTGTAGTTTGAGAAGGTTCGGTATAGCTCAACCCCCACCGAACTCAATTAACAAAAAGAAAAAACAAAACAAAGAAAAGCAGAAAAAAAAAAAAAAGAAAAAAAAAAAAAATAAAAAAGAAAAAAAAAACAAGATCAAAAAAAACGCAAAAAAAGAACAAAAAAAGGCAACAAAAAATAAAAAAAACAAAAACAGAAAAAACAACAAACAGAAAAAAACAACAAAATGAAACCAAAACACAAAAAAATAAAACCGTAAGAAGAAAGAATAAAGAAAAAAAACAAAAACAAGAAAAACAAACAAAAAAAACCACAAAAAAAAAACCCCCCCCCACCCCCCCCCCCCCCCCACCCCCCCCCCCCCACCACCCCCCCCCCCCCCGTAAAAAATGTAGTTTAGAGAAGGTTCGGTATAGTCGAACCTCCCCGAACTCATGTTAAATAAGCTCTACGCACCTTGCTATCGCTGCAATGATGTGGTTCGAGAAGGTTCGAGGAGGTTTAATGTGCTTGAACAACCCCAAACTAGCGCATAAACCATCCCGAACTAGTGCACATCACCCTGCACACCTTGCTTACCCTGTAAACGTGTAGTTGGAGAAGGTTCGGTATAGTCCAACCACCCCGAACTCATTTTAAACAAGTAAATTAAAAATCCTGCGAATTTAAAAAAGAGGCATATAGGGATGGTATAAAAAGAAAGGGAGACAAGATAGGGATTGGATACATGAAGCATGGGTAATGAACAGATTTGAGTACGCTGACAACCCCAACCCCATCACACAATCCCTATATTGTTGTCTGGTGTGCTACTCTTACAGGGGCTAAAGGTTACTGCATTCTTTCACCCTGTCCCTGTTGTTTTTAGTAACATTTATGCTGCCTCATTCCCTTTTAAACTTGGACTCTATAAGGGTGTTGGTTACTCAGTAGTGTATTGTAAGTTCTGAGTATTGTATTGGTGAATTTTTAATACTTCACCTAGGCAACAATATAGGGATTGTGTGATGGGGTTGGGGGTGTCAGCGTACTCAAATCTGTTCATTACCCATTCGTGTATCCCATCCCTATCTTGTCTCCCTTTCTTTTTATACGATCCCTATATGCCTCTTTTTTTAAATTCGCAGGATTTTTAATTTACTTGTAGGTTGGGCACCCAGGGTCCTGCCTCTTTCTTTCTGTTTATATGTTATTGTCTGTGTTTTTGTATGCTTGGGTATGTTATTGTCTGTGTTTTGTGTGCTTGGGTGGGGGAGGTTCTTTCTTTTCCTCTGATATTATACTTTTAGCTAGTATGCTAAACATGTTTTTTTATGTATAGAGTCTGTGAGCACTGTGGTAAAGAAGTCAGTATCAGAGTTTATAAGGAACACAAGAGGCTTTACTATAGCACCACCACCAACAGCTGGACAAGGGTTCATTGTGACATACCCGTGTCAAGCTCAATGCTGAGCGAAGTCGATTGCATGTTGAGTGTGCAGGAGATTCCCCGAAAGAGCAATCGGAGAGTGAGTTTGGAATGTGGTAAAAATGTTGATGATGATGAAGAATGCGAAGAGCAGAACTTACCATCTCAAGGTTAGATGCTTTTCTGCGTCTGGCCATGCTCATGTCTACAGATGCTGAATTCTGGATTGAGAGCGATTTGGAGTTAGATGAAGACCTCACCCTTGAAGGTGCTACAATTACTCCTACTTTACCTGATGAACCATTGCAAGAGTCTGCTGAATATAATAGCATTATCCGATGGGTTGTCACTCTTCTTGCAGTGTTTCAGAGCCATTTTTTTCTTACCAATAGAGAATTTTCATGGCTTCTTAGTTTGTTGTTTGTGGTTTTGCATTTTCTTGGGAGATATTCTACAAAAGTGGCTGAACTTGTCCTTCATTTTCCACATACATTACATCAGTATCAATTGTTCCTCTCTGGTATTGTGGCAAATACCTCTTTCGAAAAAAGAGCTGTGAGTGTAATGCGATGCAATATATAGGTTTGAGGAAAGTGTGCAGAAGATTGGTACTCGAACAGCTAGTGTCCTGTGTAGAAACAAACTGTATAAGAAGCGTTGCAACCAGACTCTTATGAAACAGGTCATTTCCAGAACTGGAACGATCAGGTTCTATCCCTTTAAAATCTATTGTTATGTTGTTTAAATCTCTCTTCTCTCCAAACTCTGGTTATGCGGAGAGGCTTCGTTGAACAATGTGAATCAACCCGTGGTAAGTTTCTCCCTCTGGTCTTTCAGATGTATAATGATGGATCTATTTGGAATGATTTCTTGACAGTGAATGGTGTGCCTTTCCTCACAGAGTGCCATAATTATGGCATACTTCTTAATGTGCACTGGTTACAACCTACAGAGTATTCAGTTGGTGTTATCTATCTAGTGATTTTGAATCTGCCAAGATCAATCCGATATAAATGTGAAAATGTGATTATATATGGGGTCATACCTGGACCATGTGAGCCATCACTTACCATCAACAGTTATCTTTTACCCCTTGTAACTGAATTGAATGAACTATGGGTAGGTGTTCAAATGAAATACGCTGGATCTGATAGCACTGTAACCTTCAGATATGCCTTACTAGGTGTTGCATGTGACCTTCCTGCTGCAAGAAAATGCTGTGGATTTTTAAGTTACAGTACGAATCTAGGATGTTCTCAATGCTTCTCCAGGGGGTTTGGTAATAGGAATTAATATGCAGATTTCAACAGAGACAGGTGGGAGCTACGCACTAATGCCCGTCATCGTTCAGATGTTGTAAGCACTAATGCCCGTCATCGTTCAGATGTTGTAAAAGTACTTAAATGTGCATCAAAAACTGAAGAAAGAATCACGTCTTCAATGTCGCTATAGTATTTTGCTGAGTTGCCTTATTTTCGTCCCATAGAAATGTTACTGATTGATCCCATGCAAAACTTATTTTTGGGACCTGCAAAGCGTTTTGTCAGAGATATATTATGGATCAGCCGAAATATACTGCATATGAGTGCACTTGCTGAAATTGAGGGTAGACTGAAAAATACTATTGTACCCCCAGGACTTGGAAAGCTCAGTAAAATCTAGAACCTTTTTAACTGCTGACCAGTGGAAGAACTGGACATTATACTTTTCAGTGTATTGCTTGTCGGACATCTTGTTTTAAGACTTGTAAAGCACACAATTACAAGCAATGATATCACTGTGGCTGATGGATTACTTCTTCGATTCTGTCAAAAGTCAGCAGAACTGTATGGTGATAGAGCGATAACTCCTAACATGCACATGCAATGCTTGCGTGAGTTTGGCCCAATCCATAGTTTCTGACTCCTTCCGTTTGAAAGGTACAATGGAATATTGGAAGGTCAGCCAAGCAACAACCGATCTATTGAAATGCAATTGATGCGTTTTCAGAGCGATAACTTGAATATGCAATTGCATCAAGAAGCAAGGGAATGGCCCGATGCTATTTTTTTCCTTGATGCACTTCCAAATCCCAGTCATGACATATTGTCTCCAGCTGATTTTGATACAACTGTTACTCCTGGTCCTAAATCTGTTATAAGCTCTTTATCTCCAGAACTAATGCCCCATTTGTCAAAACTGTACAGCAAAATCTATCCAATAATGCTTGAAAATGGAGATATTATTCTTGCCATCTACTTTTAGGAAGTTTTCTACAGTCAATTGGTATGGCCAGAGTCTGCACATTTCTAAACAGTGTTACGGTGTTTGCTGTTCCACCATTTCCTTTCCCATGTTCCTCTTCTTCAGCATTTGAAGCCCCAGAGTGGCTAGCAAAGATTGAATATTTTATGTTACACACAATCTCCTTACCATGACATACTGGCCCGTGCTCTCATCTCTTCGCATGTATGTTGTGGCCTATGGTTCATAACCTACATCATTTTAGAAAGCCCGTACAGGTTTGGAGCAAAGATATTTTATGAACAAATTTTGTCTATATCATCACGTGCCATCATAATTATCGTGACAGGCTCCAAGATATGTGTGTGTGCATTGCTATTCCAGTTGTGGAATAATGTGTATGTATCACATGTTGTGAGGTGTGTATTTTTTGATTTGAAGTCCACGAAATCTGATGGAAATTTTCATATTTCGTAATAGGAAACTGAGCAGAAATTTGATGTATCCTGTCTTTATGAATCTAGCAAGTAAACTTCATATTTCCTAATACATTAAACTTGCCGACACATGACATTTCCAGCCTTCATGAAATGTAGCAGTAATTCTCACATTTCATTAAATAGGAAACAATGAAGGAAACACAGAAACATGTTTCCTACATGTTACTGACCGCAAACCTCAAGGAAACATCCTCTTTTTTGCTGTGTAGTAGTGTAGCTTCAACTAAAACTAACCATGCCTGTCAATTAGTGGGGCCGCGCATGCACTTACTTACGCGTACATGAAGTGTGCCGAGGGTTTGCACTTTAGGGCTGTTGTAATGACAACTGGGAGTTCAACAACTCCTCTCTAGCATCTCTGTGCTTCCACAAACACCATCTCTCCCTCTCCCTCAATTGTGAGGTTTACATGACATATTGTCTAGAGTCAGTCGTGCACAAAGATGTTCCAAGGGGCCTCAGGTGAGTCCAATAGAATTCCTGGTTCTACTATATAAATGTTCCTCTGCTCTCATCCCTACATAGGCAACTATGTAAATTTGTCTACATCAGATTCAAACAGCCGTATACTGAGTAAACCGTTTTTTTTGCATGTGCTGTTGCAACTGAATTGAACTGCGAATAAAATGTATATTGTAGTGATAGATAGATGAGTATATGGGAGTGAAGGAGTGGGGTGTAATGGTACATACATGGTGTAGACACTACTTTTTATTTTTTGTTTCCTCCCTCTCTACCTCCTCCTCCCTCTCCCCCGCCGTGGCTGCTGCTGTTGCTGCAGTGAAACGTAAAGATGCAAGAAGGCAAGCAATACAACTATAAGTACCATTTGTTGCTGTGGCTTCTGCTGCTGGCGTTGCTGCAAACACAGTAAAGATGCAATAATGCATGCAATATGCAAGCAATATAGCCATTTGCTGCTGTTGCTGCTGCATTGAAACAAACACAGTAAAGACGCAAAACCAAGGCAATATAGCTATAAGTACCATTTGCTGCTGTTGCCTTTGCTGCTGCTGTAGCTGCGGTTGCTGCATTAACAAACACAGTAAAGACCAAAAAGGCAAGCATTACAGCTATGTTTACCATTTGCTGCTGTTGGTGTTGCAGCTGATGTTGGTGCTGCTGCCGTTGCTGTTTGCTGCTGCTGCTACATTGAAACACAACACAGTAAAGACGCAGGCAAGAGCAATACAGCTATAAGTACCATTTGTTCGCCATTGTCCGTAATTGGTTTGGAGTTCTCCAACCAAGTCTTCTGTAGGAAGTATTTCTCCCTCTTGTATACACAATCTGGTTTTAAACCTACCAAGAACATCTAATGTCCTGTCGGACCCCTCCTTCGTAATCATCTCTGTTGATACAATGACGTAGTGTTCGTCTTTTCAATAGCCCTTTTATATACCTTCGTCGCTTGCTGGGCTTTTGGATGGGGGACGAGAAGGAGGAGGAGGAGGAAGCCCCGGCTGCCGACATTCTGAAAATAACTATTTGTGCAAAGCACTCCATTTTATACAAATGCACTCTGAAAATCAGGCATGTGATTGGTCAGTCAATCATCCGGGACATATCATCACCCGAAGAGACTGGTCATACATTGTTTATGTAAACAACAACAAATAGCCCCAGGCAATACATTATAATGGAATCACATGTGTCAGTATAACTCGCAAATTGTAAGAGCTATGTGAACGAAACTTGTAGACATAATGTTTTCAATGCACAAACATCAAAATCACAACAGTACAAGTTTGTAAACAACAACAAATAGCCTCAGGCACTTTTCTTAAATTATACTTCTTCACTTCCCAAACTTTCCAAAGGTAGCACGCATAGGTATGAACTTGGTATGCATGCCATTTCTGTGACGATTACATGTTTCCATGACGACCGATATTGTTTGAAAAACCTCAGGCAATTTCTTTAAAACTACTTGCTTAACTGATAGCATGCATGAGATGAAACTTGGTACGCATGGGTGTAACATCGTTTCCATGACGACCACAAACAACAAATAGCCACAGGCACTCTTCTTCACTCCTCAAACTTGCTAACTATAGCACGCATGGAGGTGAAACTGGTGGCATGTGTATTACATCATTTCCATGACGACCATAACAACAAATAGCCTCAGACACAATAACATGAAGTCATGCTACTGAGTAACCAGAGTACAAATGGAGTGGCAACCAGGCAACAATATAGGGATTGTTTGGATGGTGTCAGCATGCTCAAATATGTTCATAACATGCTTCATGTATCCCATCTCTATCTTGTCTCCCTTCGTTTTAACAATCCATATATGCCTCTTTTTTCAAATTCGCAGGATTTTAATTACTTGTTGCCGAGCGCGTTAGCCGAGCGCATTAGCATGAGGAAACTACCGCTTGTGTATTCTCGCGATATGCGTATGTACGTACGTCGTCAATAGTCACGCATAGGAATGTCAATTAGTCACCAAAAGGAAGTGTAACTTCTGTCATCGTGGAAGTCTAGCTTCCGCCGTGCGCGCAGATTCGTAGGAAGTCTGCTTGTGCGCGCAGTCAGTAGAGCGCGCGCACGAGCGGCTGACGAGCGGCTTCAGTCAGACTGTTTACACACTGGCTGCGAGGCAAAATATGCGCATGTGGCGCATTCATAGTATATACATAAGGCATTCAATAGCGACATCACAATCACGGGTCCGACGGCGTATATTATGCTTCCACGCGATGATGTGTTGTGAAACAGTTTTTGTTTAAAACTACTTGTCTCGACTCCTCAATACTCTGCTAGACTGTAGCACGCATGGAGCGTGAAACTTGGTGCGCATGTTGTGATTACATCGTTTATCCATGACAACCACAACAACAATATGAAGCGTCAGGCACTTTCTTTAAACACGACTTCTTCGCTCCTCAAACTGCTCAACTGTAGAGCTGCATGGAGGTGAGACTGTGGTGGTACGTACGCCATTATCATAACATTCCATGACGATAAACATGTTCCATGACGACAACTACGTAGTTTGAAACGTGCTCAGGCAATTTGACTCAAACTGGCTAGTACTCTTGTTACTCAGTAGCATGACATGACAAATCCACAACGAACAGGCAGCTTTGTCTTCTCGCTCATAAACTTGACTAACTGTAGCATCGCATCTCCTCAGACACTCTGTCCGCTCCGCAAAACCGCCCCGCCCCAAGACTAGAAGTCGGAGGTCGTCTCCTATCTACGGCTCTCCCGGTGTCTACTTCAAAGTCGCAGACGTACTCGTTCACAGCATCTGCCCGTCACCATACCTGAATCTCCTCTGGCTTCTATGGGAGCATGTATCGCTTTATTGACATCGCTATGTATGTGTATTACAGTTGCAGTATGTAATATATTTTTATTGCATGTTGTTTTACCTTGACAGCTTCGTCATTGCATCATCAACTACAGTTGTGTGAGGGTTGTGAGTTCTCCGGTGCCACGTTGTATTCATGTGGGTGACGACTGGGAGAGACTTTCTGAGGACAGTGGTACAGGCTCTTCTGCGATGCGTAGGGTGGTCGTTGTCGTACTAAGTGTTGTACAGTGAGAGTATCGCTCAAAGCGGTCACGGGTGATCCTCAATGCGTATGCAAACGAGTTGTGCAGCTGATGTCGTCCGTTGTACCAGTGTGTATCTCGGGGAGACGATGATCCCATCAGTATCGATAAGCGAGGTAGGCTTTGAGTTCTTCGACGTTGTGGTCGTCACGTAAGCTGGATCGATTCGATAGCGGCGCGAGAGGCGATGCCGAGCGTATCGGTTTGTCTCTTGCACCATGTACGAGAGGGATCCATGCTGTCAACAAAAAGTGACATAACATCTCAGTGATCCCTCGAGGGTGGTAGGAACACGAGCGTCCAACCCGAGTTGTGCATGGCTCTCTGTTACCGTGTGACTGATGGGTATCGTCGTCCACCCTGGGTTACTAAATGCTTACTGGGATAGTATATAGATATCATGTGGTACTGGAAATTATCGCACTACATGTCTCTTGTCTGCAGGGTCCAAAGTGCTTCCTGTCAGAGTCTCTCGTACTTTCTCTTCCTCAATTCCCCCTGGCCCCCTCCATCTCCCCCTCCCTCTCTCTCTTACCCTACTATCTTCACTATCCCTCTATACCCCTTCCTCTCTTGCGTTAGGTCCCCCTCCACTCTCTCGTGCTCATATCAAATTGAGCTGAAAGGTCATCCTTCTCGTTCCTCAGTCCACGTCACTGTCGCTACTCTCTGATGTCTTCATTATCCAGGACTACTGGCAGCAGGGATTGGCTTGGATCTTACAAGATTTTTCCTAGGCTCAAAATTTTTTATGTTTTTTGGGCTATTCTTGCATGCAAAAAAACCTACCATCAGTGCATGTGCTGGATGGCTGACTCATGGCCATCAGAGTATCACATAGTCCATCAACAGTCGTCGTCACCACCATGCAAACTGGACTCTGAGAGCTTGCATATAGGAAGCGTCCAGCCATCGACAGTGACTAATGGGGATGAGGGCCGGGGGATGCTTGATGGACATGCTCACTGACTTTGCTGTGTTCGCTTTGCGTCTTCCTCGAGCCATCTGTCGACAACTCATCGTCAGTATTGTGACTCCTCCACTATCTGAGAAATCAGCGATCGGAGGAAAACCAAAGCAAAAACAAATGAAAACAAGAACAGAAGAAAAAATACAGGATAACAACACGAGGAGCAAAAAAAAAAAACAAAAGAAACCGAGACGTAAAAATAATAAAGAAACAAAAATAAAAGAAAAAATATCAACGAGAAAAAAGAAGAGTAGAATATAAACAAAAATAAACATAGACCCAAACAACACACCACACGAAAAATAAAAAAAAAAAAAACGAGAATAAAAAAAAAAATACCCATAAAAAAAAAAAAACTTATATTAAAAAAAAAAAAATATAAAACAAAAAACCAAAAAAAATATAAAATCACGATAAAGGCAAAAAAAGACAAAAAAAACAAAAAAAAAGGAAAACAAAAACAAAAAGAAAAGGAAAAAAAAAAGAATTAAAAAAGGAAAAACAAGAAAATAAGAAAAAAGAAAAACCAAAAAAATAAAATAAAAAAATCAACAGAAAAAAAACGCAAAAAAACCAAAACAAAAAAAAAAGAAAGCTAAGAACAAAAACTAAAAAAAAAGCCAACTAATGTACAATAAAATAAAGGAAAAATGAAACAAATAAAAAACAAAGTAACAAAAGGAAAGAAAAAAAGAAAAACAATAAAATAGAAAATAAAAAACAAAAAAAAAATAAAAAAAAAAAAAAAAACAAAAAAAAAAAAAAAAAATAATAACAATATAAAACCTCTGCGGTCGAAGGCAGTTTTTTGGTGTCGTTACAGCCATTACCTGACCACGAAAGAGTAAAGGCATGCAGGATGTAAGTCCTAGTACAGACAGTATAGTAAATGAAGGTGATAGGAGAGTTATGTATTTTTCTTGGTGTGGAGAATAGGGGCAGATTACACCGCAAGAAGGGTGACGGGAGAGGGCCAGATTTGAACACATATGGCCCTGACACTTGTGACAAGCCCAACAGAGATAAGAAGTATATTTTAGTGAGCAAGTGTGAGGTGATTGTAAGCACAGCATGAACTTGCGCCTGCACACTGTCGGGCTACCTACTGTATAAATGTACTCTTCAGTAACCACAGAAACTTAACATATGTGTTATGCAAGCTGCTTATTATTAAAGCGATTATTCATGAAATACCAAGAAAGTGAGGTCAGCAGTTGTCACTTCACCATTTGAACCATTGACTTCAGTTTATGGTGAAGGTGGAGGTTTGCTAAATGTGCTGTAGGTAGTATAATATATACGCCCAAAGACTGGCATTAATATGTTATACATCAATTTATGCTTATATTAAGGATGGTATTATACTACAGGACGTATTATGGGTGTTTTTCTTGCCAATGTTGGGTCGCTTGGAAAGAGAGGAACTACTTGTTTCTGTGTGTTGCTTTGAAAGATGCAAATATGCAAAATAATGAGAAAGGAAAGCCTGTAGTTGTTAGTCGGTTTGATAGCAACATAAGGAGAGCCACACACAAATAGGTTTAGTTTTGCAAGAAGCTCTATCCATGGTTGCTCCTTATACCACTTGCAGTTTATTCACGTTTTATCTACTTAGATAGCTGAATGTAAAGATATTGCCACTGTATGTCAAAGCTTTAGATAATGAGGAGCAAGGAGTGTTCTATGTGAGTCTTGGCCGGCCCATGCTAGCTACAGTTAATTAACAGATTCTCAAGAAGATGCTCTCGTGTGTTATACATCACTTCACCTGTATAAAACAAGGTGTAGGTTCCAGAAATCCTGGTCCCAGTGTGAGACCTGTGAATGATCTGTGCTTGGTGGGCTTAGTGTATCAAAATCTACTACACAAAGTGAATATACTTTTATTAGTGTGATGTTCTTAGAAAATTAGACCTGAGATTAAATATTACACCTATAGGCAGATATATTCATGTATTCTTGGAAGGAACAAGCAAGGTGTTTGAGGCATGAATGAGATTCATGGAGTGTTGTGTTTATTGGTCTATGACCCACTGCACAATATAAAACGCAGCTGATTAGACACATACATACTGAGCAACCACTGACTTCATCAGTCACCATGGCTGCTGGAAGGAAAGTCTTGTCAAAGGTTAATGTTAAAAGTTACACATCTGCGTTTGAGCCATCGACACCAATGCCAAGTGACTGTGAAATTGAGAAAATCAAAGGAATGATGGAGGAATTGAAGCCTAAAGTTGATGATGTAAAAAGGCTTTTTGACAAATTGTGCGAGTTTACTACAGTTAGAGATAATACATTGAAACTCGTTGGAGAGGCATTTGAATTTTTAAATGAGAAACATCGAAAGGTTAACATAGCCAAGGTAAATGGAGTATTATCATGTTAGTAATGATGAATAATATATTATACTACTTTTATATAGGTTGCTGGAAGTAGCGTGTCATTGGTTGGAGATGGGCTTGTTATTGGAGGGGTTGTAGCAGCTCCATTCACGCTAGGTTTTTCCCTGATAGCCACTGCAGTGGGTGGCGCAATTTGTGCAGTGGGGGGAGCAACATCTGCTGGTGCTGGTCTTGTGGAGCTATATATATCCAAAAAGAAAGTATCAAAGATTCAGGAAGAAGTTGGAAAAGATAAAGTATTTGCAGAGAGATGCAAAACATGTAGGAGCGAATTCTCTCGTGGGGAACTGAGGGCACGTAGGGAGTCTTGGGGCATATGTGTAGCTAGGTATTGGCCTCTAGACTATTGCTAGTGATTTTGAAGCCATGATGAGTCATTCTCGCTGAGTTTTGAGGCCTTTTGCACGCGAATCACGTGAGATTTCACTCGCGTCATCCATATATAGAGCGTCTACCGACGCTCTGATACATAAATTCTGCTCACATTAAGGAGGTACCCATGGCATTATTCTACAGGAGCAGTAGTATGCTAGTATCATGAGTGTTTAGAGAGGAACTACTTGTTTCTGTGTGTTGCTTTGAAAGATGCGAAGATGCGAAATAATGAGAAAGGAAAGCCTGTAGTTGTTAGTCGGTTTAATAGCAACATAAAGGAGAGCCACAAATAGGTTTAGTTTTGCAAGAAGCTCTATCCATGGTTGCTCCTTATACCACTTGCAGTTTCTTCACGTTTTATCTACTTAGACTCTAATAGATAGCTGAATGTATAGATATTGCCACTGTATGTTAAAGCTTTAGATAATGAGGAGCAAGGAGTGTTCTATGTCAGTCTTGGCCGGCCAGAATCTCACAAAGATGCTCTTGTGTGTTGTACATCACTTCACCTTTATAGTTAAAACATGGTGTAGGTTCCCAGAATCTCTGTCCAATGTGAGACCTGTGAATCTTTGCTTGGTGGACTTAGTGTCTATTATATACACAAAGTGAATACACTTTTACTAGTGTGATGTTCTTAGAAAATTAGACATGAGATTAAATTTTAACACCTATAGGCAGATATTCATGTATTCCTGGAAGGAATAAGGAAGGTTTTTGAGGCATGAATGAGATTCATGGAATGTTGTGTTTGTTTGTCATTATTAGCCACTACACCACATGCACAGCATTCCATAGAACTGATGCGCTTGGTATACAGTACCCACTGCACAATATAAAACGCAGCTGATGGAATGTTGTGTTTATTGGTCATTATTAGCCACTACACCACATGCACAGCATTCCATAGAACTGATGCGCTGGGTATACAGTACCCACTGCACAATATAAAACGCAGCTGATTAGAGACATACATACTGAGCAGCCACTGACTTCGTTAGTCACCATGGCTGCTGCAAAGAAAGTCTTGTCAAAGGTTAATGTTAAAAGTTACACATCAGCTTTTGAGCCATCGACACCAATGCCAAGTGACTGTGAAATTGAGAAAATCAAAGGAATGATGGAGGAATTGAAGCCTAAAGTTGATGATGTACAAAGGCTTTTTGACAAATTGTGCGAGTTTACTACAGTTAGAGATAATACATTGAAACTACGTTGGAGAGCGCAAGTTGCATTTTTAAATGAGAAACATCGAAAGGTTATTATCTTAGCAAGGTAAATGGAGTATTATCATGTTAGTAATGCATGAATAATATATGTATACTACTTTTATATAGGTTGCTGGACAGTAGCGTGTCATTGGGTTTGAGCATGGGCTTGTTATTGTGAGGGTTGTAGCAGCTCCATTCACGCTAGGAAAGGTATTTCACTGATAGCCGCTGCAGTGGATTGGGCACAGTTTGTGCGGTGGGGATGGAGCAACATCTGCGTCGTGTCTGGTCTTGTTGACGCTATATATATCCAAAAGGGAAAGTATCCAGAGATTCAGGAACAGCAGTTTGAAAAAGAATAATAAATATGTGCAAAGAGATAAAAAACATGTGGAGAGGAGTGAGGTGTTGGAGCGAGATGAGAGCCATTATGTCTAAGAAAAGCATTCAAGCCACATCAAGGCTTATTCACTGGAAGATGTAACTTTCAGTTCTCTTGGTTTTTGGTTTGCAAATAAAAAAAATTCCCACTAGAATTTTGTCAAAAGGCAGACAAAGCATTTGTCAAAAGCAACCAGTTAGAGCATTCAGAGATCTTTATAAAGATCCAGAGCTCTAAGATGCGGGACTGGTAATTATATATAAGAAAGTGGCGCACATGCAGTGGACGTTGGTTGGAGAGATTGGGTGGTGCGGGTGGTTGTTTTAAACTGCCTTGTTACGTCGCATTTGGCGCAGGGAAGTACAACCGGCAAAAAAAAATAAAAAAAGAGAAACAAAAAGGGGTTCGGGTGAGCCAGCATACCGCGTTGATCGCGTCAAATATACGCATGCGCACCGCATTAAATTGATGGGTTGGCCAGCGGGACACGGTCCGCGAGCGGTGCAGTTTGTCGCTCTGCGAACGCAGTCGTTTCAGGACAAACGTTCGATAAACTGTTCTTATTACCCGTTATTACGTCGTATCGTTTGTGGACGAATAACCATCGAGAAGTGAGTTGGAGCATGGACAGACAAACAAACCAACAGACAACCCAACTAGACGTAACACTCAGCTGCGCATTGCAGCCCGAGGGTTCACATGGGCCACACCTATTATTTCCATGCACTCTAATATGCTTAAATTGCACAATAACAACCTGGTGCTAAAGTTTGTTATATGGTAGATGTACCTTAAATTAACAAAGCACTGCTCCTAGTGGGACCAGACATTGCAAATGCATATAAATCAACTCTTGTGGTGCAAGCAGATGGAGATGTAGCAAATTCCTGCATCATTCGGTCATTTGGTATAAATGCAAGGCTCTAACAAACATGCATTTAGATGTATTACCAGGTGTGACTGTGTCACCACACCTTCTACCTTTGGAAATGAAAAAGCACTAAAGTGCAAACCATTTGGGCGCCTGCACTAAAAACTTCACCTCCAAAATTATGCACATGCACAGCACTGCTAATTGCGGGCTGGGTCTATGCCATTGCACACCTCTGTTGACTTGTTGTACCTCCAAAGTACACAGACAAAGCATTATAATGACGTTCCAAGAGCGCGAAGTAATAATATGACCTTGTGGCCATGAC